AAAGGCACACTGTTCACACGAGATAGTGCAGCAGACACTGCAGACTTCAGATCACTATGCTCAGCACAACCTTACAATTAGGCCTCTGTAATGTGACATTCTTCTGCTGTCTTTGGTTAAAGGTCCATTACTGCATTTGCCTCCCAAAATACAGGCAGCTCTATCAATCAATACTGAGAGTTACTACACAAAACTAATTTCTAGACTAACTTAAGAGATCTAGAGGTTAAAAATCAACAAATAGGCAAAGCAGGCAAACAAGGTGCCTGCTAGTGACATTCCAAGCCTTAACAAAATCCAGTAAAACAAATTAAGATTCCCAGTATGTTCATTATCAAAAATCTTCTATTTAGAAATAGTGCCATAACATTTAATTGTATCACTGCATTTGTCCTCAGACTGAACTCGGACACAGAAATGTAAAGAGTAGTTGTAAACAAATTTGAAACGGAACCATCTTGTGCCTGGGCTACAATGACATAATAACCCTTTGAAAATGACTTCTCAGGGTAAGAACAGAAGGTCACACTAAGAGCCCAGCGCCCCGTTCCTGTCAGAAGCAGAAGAGTGGTGCAGGTACCCAGGTGCTGGCCCAGGCAGACTCTGTGAGGAGAGGCACAGCCACTCTAGCAGACTCAGTTTCTGTCCTCTTTACATCCTCACTTTAAGTATTTATACACACTGATGAGATCCCCCTGAGCCTTGTCTTCTCCAGGCTGAACAGTCTCTCTCACCCCTTCCTAAAAGGGGACATGCTCCAGTTCTTTCATCACGTTGTTGGTCCCTCATGGAACTCTCCCCCATCTAGGTCTCTGTCCTCCTGGTGATCCCAGTACCGGACACAGCACTCCAGGTGTAGCCTAATCAGTGCTGAGTAGCGGGCAAGGATGACCTCCCTCCACCTGCTGGCAACACTCCAACCCTCTTCTGCACTTCCCAATAGAGGCACTCTTTTGGACCTGCTGCTTGAAGTTACATTTCATCTGTCAAGGTGTGAGATTCTATGCAAAGCCTTTGAACATACAGGAGTCCATGAAAAAAACCAAAAGGAAGAACACATCTTGGAGAGAAGTCTTTTTTATGGACATGGAGTCCACAGGAGCAAGCTACCTCAAACTAGTATGTCACAAGGTTTTTTTAAGCAGACATCAGGTGCTAAATTTTATGTCTACGTTATAAAGGTTTTATTTTTTTCTAGTACTATTCCCTGGAACAGCTCAAGATATCCTAGAAGTACAGATCGTTTTCATGTTAGCAATGAAATTCCATAAATTCGCACCAAAAAGAGAAAATAATACATAGAAATCAGAGTCCAACTTACCCTTTACTTTTAGATATCAGTCCAAGAGACTGACAGAGCCGGTGAACAAACGCTCTTTCAGTACTAGTGAAAGAAGAGGGAAATTCCATTTCTAGAAAGATAATTTTAAAAAAGTAACAGCGCAGGAGGCAGTACTCTTGACATATTACCTCGATCCTACGAGGGTTTATCAATCCCCGAACCCACCACGCTCCCCCAGCACACCGGGACTGGCTGCCCCTGCACGCCCCTAAGGGGTCCCGGCGGCGCCGCCGCCCCGCTCGGGCAGGTCAGGGCCCGGCAGACGCCGCTCCCGGGGAGGAGCCCGCGGGCTCCGGTGTCCGCCGGCCCCGCTCCGGCCTCACCACTCCCCGGGGCCGGGCCGCCGCACACACCTGTGTCCTCTCCGTAGCGGAACCGCTCCAGAGCGAGGTTCACCGCGATCTCCACCTCCTCGTCCACGCGGACATCCCTCAGACCTTTGCCGCCTCGGACGCGGGCCGCCGCCGCGGCGGTGCCCGAGCCCCCCGCGCCCCTGCCGGGCTGCCTGGGCGGGACGTGCCTGGGCCGCGACATGGCTCCGCGGCGGGCAGGGGGCTCCGCGGCGGGCAGGGGGCTCCGCGGCGGGCAGGGGGCTCCGCGGCGGGCAGGGGGCTCAGCGCACCCCCCGTGAGCGCAGCGCCGCCGGCGCAGCAGCGGGCCCGGCCGGCGCGGGCCGTGACGCGCTGCTCAGGGCCCGGCAGGGAGGGGAGGGCGGAGCCGCCCCCTGCGCTGGCAGCGGGCGGTGCCGAGACCCGGCGGTGGTGTCTGCGAAGGGCGCAGCCGCATGATAAAGGAAAGGAAATGACTCTTAAAAGTGTGTACCGTTGGAGTGGTGCTAGGCAATAGTATCGCAGTCGGCCGTAACTAAAGAAGTAGCACTGATACCTGTCAGGTCAGGAATTATGCGATTTAATTGAATGACGGTATATGTAGGGTAACATCATCGCAGTCCTCAGCGTTGTTGTTTTGAATGTTTTACAGAATCACATAGTCATCAAGATTTTCCTTCTCTTTCTCCCCGTTCCATCTTTATTTCTTCCTCTCTTGTTTTGTCGTGACAAGGCGCAGCTATCATATTCTACCCCTTGCTCTGTACCAAAGTCTGTGCTGAGGACTAGGAGCTTGTTGAAGTTAGTTGTAAAAGTTGAGAGCTTGTTAATCAACACTTCTACGATTATAGAGTGGTCTAGTTGCCAGAATTAAGGCAATTGTATAATAAAAGGATAGGAGTTCCCTGATACATGGACTGGTATCTTTGTTCAGCCCGATGAGAATTTACAATGAACATTACATCCCCAGCCAAATGGGTCGCAGTGTGGTCGGACAGGGAAGTTTCCTTAAGAGTTTGGCAATCCAAATGGGACCCTAGCCCACCACTGTCAGAGCCCTTTTCCAAACATCCAAACTAGCAAAAAGGGAACAGCCAAACTGTGTGAGTTCACCTGGGACCTTTGGAGCAGGGAAGATTCAAAGGATGAGTGTTAAAATTCTCAGAGCATATTCAATATAAATCATAAGAATCTCAAATTATTACTATTAAATTTCTCAGATTATTTTAGTCTCTCTGTTGCTGCAGCATTTTTTACATAGTTGGTGAAATTACTGTAGTGGGTCAAGTATGGGTGAGCAGCCTGATCAGCGAAAGGCACACATAAAAGGGAGTTTTTAGGGTCTCTCCCAAGTCGCACAAGGGACTGAGGTAGCTCGTAAGGCGTGCAGAGGACTGGGGTCCCCTGTAAAACATGCAGGGAGCTTGGAGTCGCTCATAAAGCATGCAGGGGCTCATAAGGCGTGCAAGGGGACTTCAAATTTAGAGTCTGCTGTTGAACATCGGTCAGTCAGTCCTAAGCACCAGGAAAGCGCTGTTCCGAATGGATGGTTCATGATCTCTGATGGTCTTCACTGATTGGAGTGGGGAGATTGGTTCAGATCCCCAAATCTGGAGTGGCAGAGATGGGTGGTGCGTGGCACCTAGTCTGCTGATGTAACCCATCCCAGAGAAACCATCACGAGCTCTGGGGAGAACTCCACCGGTGCACAGTAGGCTCTCACCAGCCCGTGGCCATCCGGGGGAGGGGGAAATTCTGCAGCAGGCTGTACCCGTATCCACAGCAGGTCTCCAAGGTGAACAGCCCATCTCTCAGCATTGCATTGCAAACACTGGGGGATGATTTGAGGGATTAACTGAACCTCAGGATAGCAAGAAAAGATTGATAGGAGAGTTGCTTAAGCATTTAGAAAGATATAGATGTGCTATATCATGTGTGATAGGCAGTGTTTTAGTGTGTGGTGATTCCTTCAAGACAGTCTAAGTTTTCTTTGCAACTAATAGGCAATTGGTGAACAGATGGATCATGTCCCTAGAAAGCACAAACACCCACTGAAAGAATTGTTCGCTCTGGGTTGCTGCTGTGTGCACATGGAATCTCTTCAAAAAGAGGGAACCACGAAGATCTGCATGTAGAGGCACACCATGTGCTATTTGTAACTACTTGAATTGATTGTTTTGGTGTAAATTGGAAATACCATGCCTGGAGGAGGTTCTCTAGAAGACATATGTCAGCTGAAACACTGCTTTATTTTTTGTATGTATATGAGATTCTTGTGGACTACTACTTGCTTGTAATGATGGTAATTTTGTGTATATTTTTAAAAAATTATAAAAGCACATTTTTCTACGTATGCATTTATTTCGGTATCAGCTCTTGTACAATCGGTTCATGTAGGTGATTTCTCATTAGCAAATTGTGATGAGAATGCTTGTATACTAGATGTATTGCACTAGCAAAAAGGGAACAGCATGCATCTCCATCCAAACTTCAGCTGTGTCAAAAGGAAAGATAAATATTTGGCTGTATTTTGGGGAAGGGGCAATGAGTGATAGATCCAGAAAAAACAGAGGCCATAATTAAACTCCCACGTCTGGTTTTCTTGGAGCTATGGGATTCCCAGTTAGGAGAAATGGCTAAGTCTCTGACTGAGGCAACTGAGAACTAGGAGCCAGAAAATAGCTAGTGGAGAGGTACTGTAGAAATTCGGACCTGATGAGAGATCTCTTGCAACCAGATCCAGTTGCAGCAGGGGCACCAAGTCAATTGAACCAGACAGGGGTGCTCATTTTACAGCAAATATAATCAATCAACTGAATATGTCATTAAGAGATCAGTTGGTTTGAAGATGGTGCTAATAACACCAAGTTTGCAGGTTCGATCCCCATATGGGTCATTCATTTAAGAGTTGAACTTGAGGACCTTGTAGGTCCCTTCCAACTCAGCGTGTTCTGTGTGTGAACTTATACCCCAGTTAAGACCAGCTTGTTGGATGGAGATGAATACTTGTCCCAGTACATTGACAAGTAGTGAATGATGAGTAACAGACTTTTGAGAATCCTGTGTGATTTTATATTGATAATCATTTCTGCCCTTAATTGTGTTAAGTTTGTTACTTGTTATAATGTTGTATGTTAGGGCAGTGGTTAAGTGCCTTGAAACTTTCCTTTTGTCCCTTTCAATGTATTAGCTGGTATGCTCAATTAAAACAAAGTTAGGACTGTTGAGGAGTACATTCAGTGCAGATAGGTCAGTGTGCAGCTGCAGTGCAAGCTGCAAATTGGGCTCTGGATAGCAGGAGCCTGAGATAAAAGGTCCTGAACTAGTGCTGATATTTGCATAAAAGAACTTTCCTTAAAAGACATAAAGAAAAATGGTCTTAGAGAAGAGTTGTCCTGTGGGTCAGGAGAGGCCAGAAGCCACCTAGTATTTCCTGCACACTCAGGTGGCCCCAGCAGACAGAGCTCCCAGGATTAGCTCTGCAGAGACCTCCAGCAGTGTGGCCGACCACTGTAGCAGACAGAAGGCCAGCCATTGTCCAAGAGAGAGGGCCGCCTCCTCCACGCCATGCGGAGCTGGTTTTGCAGCAGCCTGAATCTGAAGGAAGGATGTCTCTCTACAGCTCTTAGAAAGTGCAGGGTTTGAGTTGCGAGGTTTGAGATGGAGGTGCTAAAGTTATTTGTCGTGCCTTGACGTGCTGAAACAGAGAGGAACAGAGCCAAGGTTTAGGGACCTCAGGAACCCCTCTTGCCAGAGTCACCCCACCCAGCCCTTCCCATGGTCAGAAGGGAGTAGGAACTAAGAGGGTAAGCCCTAAACTGTTTGCCATGAATACCACACAAGCTCGCCTAAAGTCTCTCTCTGCTCTGCCCACACTGCCCTTTGTCTGGGCAGGGAGCAGAACCCTCTCCAGCTGTCCAGGATCCTTCCTCCTTTCATGCCAGTCCCTGCTGACAGCCTGCTGCCCTCATTCACCCTCACAGGTGACCTGGAGCAATTCTTCCTGCCCCCTCATGTGCCACCTGATGTGCCCTAGGAACACACAGCCTATCATGGCCTCAGCAGCACAGCTCCCTGACACCAGCGCTGCCAGCCCAGCTGCACGTACTCCTCCCCTTGGCAGGACTGAGCCACGTATAAAGCACAAGGGCAAGGGTAGGAGAGAGTGGCAGAGAGTCCTGAGACGTAGTCAGGGTACCACAGCCACTGGGCTGGGTCCTGCTGCCAGTGCAGCAGCTAGAGCTGAGGCCAAGCTGCAGTGGGGCGGCAAGGGACTCTGGGGGTTGTGGCTCACCAGTGAGCCTGATGGCTGCCTCTCGCATGGCCTTCTGTGGGCTATGCAGGTATGACACGGACTGGCGCAGGTACTCGTCTGCTCTGCTTCTGTCCTCTGCCAGCTAGAGAGAGCAGAAGGGGACACAGGGAAGGGTTGGCACTGATTCTTTCCCTTGGCTGAGCAGCTCCTGCACCCAGGACTGACATTCCCTGCTTGGACACCCATGACACCCAGCCAGCAGCTGGCTGGTGCCAAGGTTTGAAGGGAGCAGAGGGCTGAGTGCTCCCCAGGGAGCCCCAGTATCACTCCGATGCCAAAGCACAGCTGGGTCAGGACTCTGTCAGCACCCTGGCTCAGGGAGGGAGAAGAGCCTGGAGAAGAGCTTGCTGGGCCACACACCCGAGGAGAGTAGTGCGTGGGGTGCAGGCTGGTGGTGATGCGTGCAGGAGTGGGCAGGGGCCACAGCTGGCACCCTCACACACTGAGTATCGGGAGCAAAGAGCTTGTTCAGGCTGGGTCTGGGGCTTCAAGGCCATCCTTACCAGGCACTCGCCGAACCTCCACATCTCTTCTGTCTTCAGCAGCTCCTCAAGATTCCACTTCTTCAGGAACTTTGTTGCTTGAAGCAGGGTTTCCCAAGAGGCCTGCAGAGTCAGAGAGACTGGGAGATGGCACAGCAGCCCAGGACACAGGACCTGCATCCCTGTGGCCAAGGCCAGGAGGAGGCAGGAGCACTGCAGTCTGCAAGGTGTTAGGGCAGAAGGCAGTTGAGCCCCCTTCACAGGGGACAGCAGGAGCTCAGAATCCTCACCTGCACCACACACTGGTTCTCATCATACATGTGATAGAAGAGCGGCAACAGGCTCTGGTGCACATTCTTCTCCAGGAGCTTTTTCTCCTCTTCTGGTACCAACTCCATTAGCACTTGAAAGAGGTGAATGGAGAGGAGCTGCACATGGCTAGTGTCCTAGTGGAAATGAAGAGGGCAAGACCTCAGCACCAGCGTCTCCAGGCCCACCTGAGCATGGGCCTGAAATTCCACAGGGTATAAAGTTTCGTGGCAGCACCCAGTGCCCCTGGCAGGAGGCACAGAGCCTTACATTCTCAAATAGTGGCAGGAGTGCCTCAGCCAGCTGCACAGCAATGGAACTGACAATTGAGACATCTGCGTCCCGGATCACCTCACTGAGCACAGAAAGGGTCATGCCCACCACCTCTCCGTCCTGATCCTTCAGTACCTCTGTGAAGCTTTCAGTCAGGGCCAGGATTGAGTTGGCCTGCGTGGAGCACAAAGCAATGTTCTGAAGCAATCAAAGGCTGCATTGCCAAAACCACTCCAGCAGTTCAACCACACGCCACTGCCTCAGAACGAAGAAGCCAGAGGCCTGTTCTGAAGGACTCTGGTGGCTGAATGGGGAGTCAGGAATGCTGGCAGCAGGTGACACAGCTCCTGAAGCCCAGACAAGTCCAAACTACTGTGTTACCCAGCCCCACATGGCCAGCACAGCTTCAGCCAGCTGCCTGCTTCTTACCATAGAGGGTCTCTTGCAGAGCAGTAGGAGGCATCTGAGCAGCAGGAGATGCATCTCTCTGCAATCTCTCCTGAGGTAGATTGGGACAAGCTGCAGGATGCGTTCATCCCATTTATCTAAGTTTAGGCAAGGCAGAAGCTGAAATGACAGAGCAGTGAGAGCAGTCATACCTGTCACCCCTGCAGCAGGGGGCCAAGGGCGCACAGCAGAGCCCACCCTCTGCCCCAGCTCCACAAACTGCAATTCCACCAAAGCTGTGTGTCAAACCGGGCAGAGTGGAGGGAGGCAGCTCAGCGAGGCAGCACTTGCCATCAGGCTCACCTCAACAAAGAATGCCATGGCAGAGACTTCCCAGCGAGCCTCCTCTCTGCGGAGCAGCCTGAACAGGTAGCGTGCAATCCGGTAACACAAGCACTGTGAGACCCTGAGCATTGCTCTGGAGGAGGAAAAAAGGCATCATTGACCCTGAGCAGGGTGGGCAAACCTCTCCTGAGACTGAATTACCAAAGCCTGATCCTTCCCCACCACCTCTCAAAAGGAGAAAGGCAGTACCCAACACCAGCAGGGACTGTTGAGGATGACCAGACTGAAAAAACACCTTCCTACGCACAGGGGATATGAGCAACCAGGCTGTGGATGGCCATCAATGGTTGGCCCCAAATCTCTCTGGCCCTGACAGGCTATCCTCAGTGAGGTTCCCTGCAGACAGACCTCTTGTTCTGTGCCATCAGCCCAGGACTCACGGGAGGCCATGCCGGCACTTTGGGTTGTGGCTGTTCCAGAGCACCCAGCTCTCCCAGGCTTTTCCACTCTGCAGGGCCATGCCTCAGTGACAAGTCCCTCTCACCCACGACCACAGGGATTATGTCGGGGCCACCTCATCTCCTGGGGAGAAATGATAGGGGAGCATGGAGAAGGGAGGTCTCACCTGGCCAGCAGACCCACTGCATACTGGTGATTGTCAATGTTGAGGAATGTGTCCCAGCCACACTCATGTTCAACTTCAGACACCACATCCTCATACTCAAGATGGCAGAGCAGTGATTTCATGGTCTGCACTATGAATCTGTGTACAGAGCAAAGCCCAGGTCATGCCAGGATTCCTGAGCCCAGCTCCAAGGGCATGGGAGGGACGGGAGGACTGTGATGGAGCACCTGTTGGGGTTGGTGGGAAGGCAGTGCTCCTGCTGGCATCTCCTCCAGAAGGTATTGACATCTACTGGCATCTGCGCTGTGCTGGAGAAGATTTGGAATAGCAGAGCCACAAAGAAGCAGGGGAAATACATCATCAGTGCCTCTGGATGGTTGGGCAGATGGGTGATCTCCCACAGTGCTACAGTTGCCTGCAAAAAACAAAACACCCAGAGACTGCACTCAGCCCTGAGACATCCCCATGGCAGGGCCCAAGTGTGGGAGGGTGAGGTTCAGGCATTGCCCTGGTCCAGGGGAGATGCAGGGGGAGCTTCTGACATGGCTGCCTCTGAACCTGCCCTTAACCAAGATTTCCAGCCCATCACATGAGGTGGGGAGATCACTGGTGCAGGAGGAAGGATAGAGAGATGCCAGAGAGGTAGCCCCTGAGGATGTGCTACGGTCTAGTCCAGCAACTCACAGCCAGGGAGAAGATGTCTGAGTCGTCCTTGTCAGAGGTGGATGTGCTGTGCAGCGGCCAGTCCTCCAGCACGCACAGCAGCTCCGGCAGCACCTTCTCCGCAGCTCTGCTTGAGGAGACGATTGCCTTCCACATGGTCACAGCAGCTCTGCAGGCCCAGAATTCTGTGTCAGTGGGGTCTTGGTCACAAGACCATGGCCTGGGCAGCCCTAGAGGCCCTGGCTGGCCACCAGCCCTGCCTCTGTCCACTGAGTAGCACTCAGTGAGCCTGCCTCTGCAGGTAGCAGGCAGACAAGTAATGGTGCCCTGGAGGGTACAATTGACATGGCACAACAGGGAAACAGAGGGGTCATGGGTCCGATGAGCTCTAATCGCTTGTGAGTCCTCAGCACTCAAAGCAGATAAACCTCATACCTGTCACATGATGGGGCACAGCGCAGAAGGGTCACCACCACATCATGAGACTGTACAAGGCTCATCTCCTGAAGGCTCTTGTCCAGTCTGTGCTCAGCAGACACATCCATTATGAATGTGAGCCATTGGTACATGTCCCTCACAATGCTTGGCACCTGGAGGAGACATAGCAGGGAACTGGATTGCTGATAGAGCATGGCATTTCCCCAGCTTCCCACGAGAAATGTTTCCTTTTCTACAACACTGTGCTGGCCTTAAAAGGGATTCTGAGTCCCCAGGATGAGTCTAGGGCTTTGAATCTATTCTCACCAGGCACTTGTCAACACTCCATGTCTTTTCCAACAGTTGCTCGAGCTTCCTCTCCTGCAGGAACATGTTAGCTTGAAGCAGAGTTTCCCAAAAAGCCTATAGAGCAGCAGATACCGGGAGATGGAACCACTGATGAGGGCACAGGACCTGCATCCCTTATACCTTGACAAGGCTCCTGGCCTTTCCTGGCCCTTAGTGGGAATATGCAGCATCTGGGAAACTTGTCCATCAGTGGGTTTGGTGCCTGGGTAAAGTGATGGGTCAACCCCCATCTCAGGCATCTGGTGCTGCCAGGACAGGAGAACAGAGGTTCCCAGAACTGCTGCTTTGTAGCTAAGAGCAGGAAGAGATGGGAGCGCAGGAGGCAGTTGAGTCACCTCCAACATGGACACCAACATTTCAGAAGTCCTCACCTGTGCCACACACTGGTTCTCATCATGCAAGTGGCGGAAGAGTAGGAACAGGCTCTGGCGCACATTCTTCTCCAGGAGCTTTTTTCCGTCTTCCTCTACCAACTCCATTAGCACTTGAAAGAGGTGAATGGAGAGGAGCTGCACATGGCTAGTGTCCTAGTGGAAATGAAGAGGGCAAGACCTCAGCACCAGCGTCTCCAGGCCCACCTGAGCATGGGCCTGAAATTCCACAGGGTATAAAGTTTCGTGGCAGCACCCAGTGCCCCTGGCAGGAGGCACAGAGCCTTACATTCTCAAATAGTGGCAGGAGTGCCTCAGCCAGCTGCACAGCAATGGAACTGGCAATTGAGACATCTGCGTCCCGGATCACCTCACTGAGCACAGAAAGGGTCATGTCCACCAGCTCTCCGTCCTTATCCTTCAGTACCTCTGTGAGGCTTTCAGTCAAGGCCAGGATAGTGTTGGCCTGCATGGAGCACAAAGCAATGTTCTGAAGCAATCAAAGGCTGCATTGCCAAAACCACTCCAGCAGTTCAACCCCACACTACTGCCTTAGAACGAAGAAGCCAGAGGCCTGTTCTGAAGGACTCTGGTGGCTGAATGGGGAGTCAGGAATGCTGGCAGCAGGTGACACAGCTCCTGAAGCCCAGACAAGTCCAAACTACTGTGTTACCCAGCCCCACATGGCCAGCACAGCTTCAGCCAGCTGCCTGCTCCTTACCATAGAGGGTCTCTTGCAGAGCAATAAGAGGCATCTGAGCAGCAGGAGACGCATCTCTCTGCAATCTCTCCTGAGGTAGATTGGGAAAAGTTGCAGGATGCGTTCATCCCATTCCTTTATGTTAAGGCAAGGCAGGAGCTGAAACATACAGAGGACTGACTGTGGTCATATGTGGTGTTTGTGGCATAATATGATGCCGAAATACAGGCAGAAAGTTATTTGCTTCTTGTCCTTCCATCATGTCCAGGCACTGCATGTAGATAAGCAAAAGAATCTTGAAAATGTGAAGCTGAAGTGGGAAGCAGGCTTGACTCCAGCAGCAGGGGGCCAAGGGCGCACAGCAGAGCCCACCCTCTGCCCCAGCTCCACAAACTGCAATTCCACCAAAGCTGTGTGTCAAACCGGGCAGAGTGGAGGGAGGCAGCTCAGCGAGGCAGCACTTGCCATCAGGCTCACCTCAACAAAGAATGCCATGGCAGAGACTTCCCAGCGAGCCTCCTCTCTGCGGAGCAGCCTGAACAGGTAGCGTGCAATCCGGTAACACAAGCACTGTGAGACCCTGAGCATTGCTCTGGAGGAGGAAAAAAGGCATCATTGACCCTGAGCAGGGTGGGCAAACCTCTCCTGAGACTGAATTACCAAAGCCTGATCCTTCCCCACCACCTCTCAAAAGGAGAAAGGCAGTACCCAACACCAGCAGGGACTGTTGAGGATGACCAGACTGAAAAAACACCTTCCTACACACAGGGGATATGAGCAACCAGGCTGTGGATGGCCATCAATGGTTGGCCCCAAATCTCTCTGGCCCTGACAGGCTATCCTCAGTGAGGTTCCCTGCAGACAGACCTCTTGTTCTGTGCCATCAGCCCAGGACTCACGGGAGGCCATGCCGGCACTTTGGGTTGTGGCTGTTCCAGAGCACCCAGCTCTCCCAGGCTTTTCCATTCTGCAGGGCCATGCCTCAGTGACAAGTCCCTCTCACCCACAACCACAGGGATTATATCGGGGCCACCTCATCTCCTGGGGAGAAATGATAGGGGAGCATGGAGAAGGGAGGTCTCACCTGGCCAGCAGACCCACTGCATACTGGTGATTGTCAATGTTGAGGAATGTGTCCCAGCCACACTCATGTTCAACTTCAGACACCACATCCTCATACTCAAGATGGCAGAGCAGTGATTTCATGGTCTGCACTATGAATCTGTGTACAGAGCAAAGCCCAGGTCATGCCAGGATTCCTGAGCCCAGCTCCAAGGGCATGGGAGGGACGGGAGGACTGTGATGGAGCACCTGTTGGGGTTGGTGGGAAGGCAGTGCTCCTGCTGGCATCTCCTCCAGAAGGTATTGACTTCTACTGGCATCTGCGCTGTGCTGGAGAAGATTTGGAATAGCAGAGCCACAAAGAAGCAGGGGAAATACATCATCAGTGCCTCTGGATGGTTGGGCAGATGGGTGATCTCCCACAGTGCTACAGTTGCCTGCAAAAAACAAAACACCCAGAGACTGCACTCAGCCCTGAGACATCCCCATGGCAGGGCCCAAGTGTGGGAGGGTGAGGTTCAGGCATTGCCCTGGTCCAGGGGAGATGCAGGGGGAGCTTCTGACATGGCTGCCTCTGAACCTGCCCTTAACCAAGATTTCCAGCCCATCACATGAGGTGGGGAGATCACTGGTGCAGGAGGAAGGATAGAGAGATGCCAGAGAGGTAGCCCCTGAGGATGTGCTACGGTCTAGTCCAGCAACTCACAGCCAGGGAGAAGATGTCTGAGTCGTCCTTGTCAGAGGTGGATGTGCTGTGCAGCGGCCAGTCCTCCAGCACGCACAGCAGCTCCGGCAGCACCTTCTCCGCAGCTCTGCTTGAGGAGACGATTGCCTTCCACATGGTCACAGCAGCTCTGCAGGCCCAGAATTCTGTGTCAGTGGGGTCTTGGTCACAAGACCATGGCCTGGGCAGCCCTAGAGGCCCTGGCTGGCCACCAGCCCTGCCTCTGTCCACTGCCCCTCACCAGCAGCACTCAGTGAGCCTGCCTCTGCAGGTAGCAGGTAGACAAGTAATGGTGCATTGAGGGACACAAAGGGAGTGTGGCAATGGGCTCTGTGGCTGGCATAGCACAGCTGGCACACAGAGGGGTCAGAGGCACCTGAAAATCTCTATCTGTCTGGCAGCCCACATGAGATTGGCTCTGTAGGCTGGTGGGCTCTAATGGCTTGTGAGTCCTGAGCCCTCAAAGAAGGTGGGCTCCGTACCTGTCACACGATGGGGCGCAGCGCAGAAGGGTCACCACCACATCATGGGGCTGTGCAACTGTCATCTCCTGAAGGGTCTTCTTCAACCTGTCTTCTTGAGACATATATGTGATCTTCATAAGCTGTTGGTGAATGTCCCTCACAATGGTTGGCACCTGGAGGATACACAGCAGAGAACTGGAGTGTTGATAGAGTGAGGCATTTCAACAGCTTCCCATGAGAAATGCTTCCTTTTCTACCATATTTTGCTGATCTGAAAGTCTGTTGGATGGCCAGCAGACCCAGCTTGAGAGGGTTCACGTTTCATGGGGGACTCCAACCCTGGCCACAAGTTACGTACTTTATTCAAATGGGAGCTGCCACTTCCCATGATAATATCTGCTATGGCAGCACAATCCTCTGCTTTGCAGGAGCTGGAGGTTGCCGTGCCCCCAAGGACCATGGTGGTCTTGTCTTCATGATCAGTGGTCTTATGGAAGTCTGAAAACATCTAAGGGCAGGGAAGAGAAGGATGTCACATCCAGTGCTCTGACAGCTGTCATCCACTAAGCAGAAACAGCAGCCCCATCCCAGGCATGGAAGTCTGGATACCTGTGTGCATCTGTAGAAGAGTCCATGGGTGTGCTCCTCCTCTGGCAGTTCCCCAAGTGGATCTGGCAAAACCCAAGAACAGTCAGAGCTTAGGGACTGCAGGAGAGGCTGGAGAACACAGTCAAGCCTTCCACTCCCCTGGTGGGGACAGTCCTGGGACATGAAATAGTGGAGGCACCAACCCCTGTCTCTTCTGGCAGCAGCTTGGGGCTGAGGGTGCCTGGTGGATGGAGATGGATGCTGGGGTAATCAGCTCCATTCCCACTTCCCCTTGCTCCCTGGGGATGTCCACGGGGGATAGGATTGGGCTGCAGCCCTAGCCCTATGGCCCAGCTCAGCCACTTACCTGTCTGCAGTGGCTGGACTGTTTCCACTTTTTCAGTCTGTTGTGCTTGGGCAGCCCCTCGGCCTTTCTCCTCCTCCCCCTCCTCCCCTCCCCCCCCAACCCAGGCCAGCCAGGGCATACTGGGCAATTTTTCCGCCATCCCACTGAATTTTGCATCAGAAAAGCATGAAGTGGTTGTACAGAGGCTCCTTGCAGCACCCCTTTGTCCTATCCTGTCTTATTTTGTCTGCCAGCAGTATGTGGGGTGGCTGTGTCAATGCCAGAGACAGGTCACAAAGGCAGTGGCTCACAGAGGGCTCTGTGACATGTGCCGACAATTGGCAGTGCCTATTGTGGTAGGTAGTTGCTGTGAACATATGTTTATTGATGGAGAGATCATGTTCATACAGAAGATGTCTGAACTATGGGCATGTGTTGCCTTGAGGATGGCTCCAGACGTGTTCTTTACCTGGATTCTCTGTCAGATCTTTTCTCAAACCCCTATGTCTTCATCCTCCAAGGTTCTCATGCTTGTCCCAATGGGTCAGACAGCAACCTCCCCACAGGCCTCTTGTAATACAGCCCAAATAGACAGGGAGACAAAACATACCACATCAAAGTCACCTCATTTGTAGCACAAAAAAGCACAACCCAGAAGGCCTTTCCCTCCTCAGCAGGGCATCAACACCGATGACAATGCTGAAAGTGGGGATACTGGGTTCTTCTGCCATACTCTACCCCGGCACCACCATCATGATCCAACCAGTGTCTTTGGAGTGACAGTGTGGACACCTCTTGCCTTCAAGGTTAATAGGACACACAGTATTATTGAGTTGCAATGCCTACTGTGGATTATCATTCTTCAAGTACCATTAGCAATGAACAATCAATCAACAATGAGAATAAATAAGCATGCAGTAGTAACCAACATCATAGGAACAATTAACAGTAGCAATGGACAAACTTAGCATTCTATGAGGATATCTAACGTTGACAGGAGGCAGATGGGGAATGTCAATTATATAGGTCAGTTTGGGGAGCATGTCAGTGTCACAGGTGGGGTTTAAGGGAGTATATTTTACTGTGGAGACTGATTTCATTATAGTGATCTTAATGCAATGGACAGTGATCCAAATTACAATAATCACAATTATAATCATTATCAAAGTCTGAAAGAGGCTAGGTAGCCACCCTGACATGGAAAACCCAAATGCATTTAAAATTCTCCCTAGCCATTAGTTACCAGTGCAGCAGCAATGTCCCAGAGGTGGAAAACGCTGTCACTTCGTTGATGTGGGATACTGGAATTTCAGGGAAATCAAAAGCAGTAGAACCAGTAAGAATACAGTTGAAACCTGCTGCCAGACCAATAAGGCAGAAACAATATCCTTTGAAGTTAGACACTAGGCAAGGGTTAGAAGAATTAATAGCTAAATTTTTGCAACATGGATTATTAAGGGAACATGAGACAGAATATAATTCTCCTATCCTACTGCTAAAGAAGCCACATACCAGTGAATACTAGCTAGTGCAAGATCTCAGAGCTATTAATAAAATAGTGCAAGACATATACCCAGTAGCAGCAAATCCTTATGAACTTTTAACACAATTAAAGGATCTGATGAGCAGTTCAGTGTTTTGGATCTTATGGATGCTTTCTTCTGCATACTGCTTGAAACTAAGTCAACCATTGTTTGCCTTTGAACGAGAAAGCCCAATGGCCTGTAAAACCCAATTACTGTGAACTGTTCTCCCAAAATGGTTAAAAATAGCTCCACTTTGTTTAGGAACCAATTGGCAAATGAATTGGAAATATGGAAAAAGGGGAATGAAGAAATCACTTTGCTGCGGTATTAGATGATATTTTAATTGCTACAGAAACTCAAGCTGGATGCATTAAAACTACTGTAAGTTTACTAAACTTTTTGGGATAAGCTGGTTACAGGGTAACCAGCAAGAAGGTCCAGATTGCCAAAAAGCATGTGACATATCTGGGATTCACCATTTCCTGGGTACAGCAAAGCCTCAGAACAAAAAGGAAGGAGCTTTTTTAGCATACTCCCGAAAAAACTGGCAGCCCACGGCTTGGACAGGAGCCCTCTGTGCTGGGTTAGGAACTGGCTGGAGGGTCGGGCCCAGAGAGTGGTGGTGAACGGTGCTGCATCCAGTTGGCACCAGTCACTAGTGGTGTCCTCCAGGGATCAGTGTTGGGCCCAGTCCTGTTTAATATCTTTATTGATGATATAGATGAGGGGATTGAGCGTACCATTAGCAAATTTGCAGATTGTCCAAGTTGGCAGGGAGTGTTGATCTGCTGGAGGGCAGGAGGGCTCTTCAGACAAGCTGGAGAGATGGTCTGAATCCAACAGGATGAGGTTTAACAAAGCCAAGTGCCAGGTCCTGCACTTTGGCCACAACAACCCCATGCAGCGCTACAGGCTGGGGACAGAGTGGCTGGAGAGCAGCCAGACAGAGAGGGACCTGGGAGTTTGGATTGACGGGAAGCTGAACATTGTGGCAATGGATTTGCCATATGTAGGATGGAAGAAGTCCTGTCAGAGATGGACTAGTGAAGAAAAATAAGAAAACTACTCAAATGTTATAGAAACAGAAGTTTTCAATGTGGTTTAAACAGGTTTTAAAATGGCTTTTGCTTTTTCTGCAAAGTCATTGCTCCGTGTTCCCGACACCCCCTGTGAGGGACTTGTCTCCCATACAGGAGTATCCTGAGAAGATGTCCTGAGGTGTTTCTCATTGGTCCTTGTTAACCCCTTCCTATTGGTTGTTAACCTTTTACCTGATTGGTTTTTTCTGTGCCCCTGAACTTGTAATTGGTTCCCCTTTGACCCTCCTAAAAGCCTTATAAACCCCTACCCCACAATAAACTTCCTCTTTCGTCCATCCCTCCCTGGTGGTCTGTGTGGCTCCTTACGGGGTCGCCGGGCCACGTGGCGGGGGGCAGGGGGGAAGAGCATTTACCTTCCAGGTGATGGGCTGGATTCCAGGGCCTGAAGGTCTCCCCTTCCCACTAATCTGTCGTAGAACATGAGCCAGCAGTGTGCCCAGGTGGCCAAGGCCAATGGCATCCTGGCCTGGATCAGGAAGAATGTGGCCAGCAGGTCCAAGGAAGTGATTCTTCCCCTGTACTCAGAGCTGGTGAGGCCACACCTTGAGTACCGTATCCAGTTCTGGGCCCCTCAGTTCAGGAAGGACATTGAGGTCCTGGAGCAGATCCAGAGAAGAGTAACAAGGCTGGGGAAGGGACTCGAGCACAAGTCCTATGAGGAGAGGCTGAGGGAGCTGGGGCTGTTCAGCCTGGAGAAGAGGAGGCTCAGGGGAGACCTCATCACTCTCTACAACTCCCTGAAAGGAGGTTGTAGCCAGGGGGGGATTGGTCTCTTCTCCCAGGCAACCAGAAGTAGGACAAGAAGGCATGATCTTAAGCTGTGCCAGGGGAAGTTTAGGTTGGATATTAGGAAGAAATTCTTTATAGAGAGTGTAATCAGACACTGGAATGGGCTGCCCAGGGAGGTGGTGGATTCCCCGTCCCTGGAGGTTTTTAAGATGGGACCAGATGTGGCACTTAGTGCCATGATCTAGTAACCACGCTGGTGTTGGATCAAGGGTTGGACTTGATGATCTCAGGGGTCTTTTCCAACCCAGTTGATTCTATGAATTTGCCAAACTCTGGAGCCATGGTCTGTTCGTGAGTTAAGAACATTTCTAGGAATAGTGAGTTGGTGTCAGCTATGGATTCCTAATATGGACTGTTGGTAAGACCTTTATATGAGGCCCTGAGAAACTCTAAGGAGATACTACAGTGGAGTTCAGAATACCAGATGGCTTTCAGAAACTTAAGTACAGTTCTAATATCAGCCTCTGTGTTGGAATTACCTGATTTGACCAAACCTTTTGAACTGTTTGTACATGAACACTTACACCTTGCATTAGGTGTGCTAGCTCATAGGCTGGGGGCATGGAAAAGGGCCATGGGATATTTTTCCAAAGAACTGGACAATGTAAATAAGGGACTTATAACTGCCTATGGGTTGTAGCAGCAACTGTCCTTTTAATACAAGAAGACCAGCAATTGACCATGGGCCAGAAAATTGCTGTTTATGTTCCACACATGGTTATCTCTGTTCTAGAACAAAAGGAGGGGTCACTGGTTATCTCCAAATAAGATGCATAAATATCAAGTCATCCTGTTGGAACAGGATGATGTAGAACTGAAAATGACTACTGCCCAGCTATATTCCTTGAATCTGTACCAGAATGCTAAGACTTACAAAATTACTGTCTTCTAACTATCACGCAGGTTTACTCCAGCAGACAAGATTTAAGGGATACTCCAGTAGAAGATCCGGACTGGGAACTATTCACAGATGGGAGCAGTTTTGTTTGCAAAGGAAAGCAGAAATTTGTGTATGCAATGGTGACCCAAACAGAAATAACTGAAGATAACTTGTTACCTGTTAACATCTCTGCACAAAAAGCTGAGCTCATCGCTCTGCAGTGAGCCCTAGAATTGTCTGCAGGTAAGAATGTCAACATATGGACTGATTCTAGATATGCATTAGGAGTATGGAGCTATCTAGAAAGAAAGGGCTCCTTTCAGCACAAGGATTCCCTGTCAAATTTGGAGATGTTATTAGGAAATTACTAGAAAATATTCAGTTACCAACTGAAGTGGTTTTCATGCACTGTAAAGCTCATCAATTTGAAAATACACCAACTAATGTAGGAAATTGACTAGCAGATAGAACTTCTAGAGACATGGCAGACAAAAGCATCCTAATAGTTGCTCCATCAAAATGCATGAACTTTTCAAATGTAACCCCAGAGTACCAAGCTCAAGATGAAAAGTTAGCTGAAATTTTGGAAGACCATCTAAATTCTGAAGGATGGTGGGTAACAGCAGAAGAACAAGTCATAGTACCTCAAGAAGTGATGAGACAAGTAACAGAAGATAAACACAGAGAAGTATTGATGAAGAGGTACAGACAGATCACTCACAGACCAGTATGGTCGGCAAAATGTCGGCTTTATTAGAAGAAAGACACCTTATATACTGCTTATGACACTCAGATGTGCATTTATTGTACACAGAGCATTGGACACATAAGGAAAACATGCTTTGTTGTATGGTGCTAATTGGATCATAGCAGGTGGCCATAGGAGATGAGAACACTTGTTCACCTGCCAAAAACTTCTCCTTGACCTTGGCAAAAAGCCTTTTTTGTTCTAACTTCAGCTCCTGTAGCCATA